AGATTTTCATTTCACTGTGATCCTCAATACGTATAGCCTTTAGATTTCACAAACGACAAATTATGATGCTTTAAATAATTTTCTCTTTGTGGTACTATAACAGGGTTTGACTTATGGTAGTCAAAGATTATTTTTATTATCTTTTATACATATTTTTCTTTTTAAAAGTAGTATGTTTGACTATATTCTTGGCTGTACTGCCTAAAATACAACCTTCAGCAAGTTAACAGCTTGGTGGCTTTTCAGATCCAAATTCATCAACAAATTTAGATTTCTTGAAATCCCTTGATATATTTTCATGGAATATATAACAGTTCTAAACTTTGGCATTGTAAATGTATTCTAAATATTGATGGAATATGTTCATTTTGTTTGTTTCTTTCTTTCTTAGAAAACAAAAGGATCCTGAATAGTTAATGGTAGCAAGTGAAGTATTTTAAAGTTGGTGTAGGTATTCTTTTTCTAATGTGGAAAAGCTTTTTGACTACATTGCTATAATACTGATTTAAGAACATGTGGATTTCCTTATCTTGTCTTTTCAGTCTGAATGGTTTTATCAAATTGATAATTTTATTAATTTTAGTTTTCTCATTGAATATGTACTAAATCTTGTAATTTTTCTTCCTTTTCCCTGTTTTTCCTTGCCTTACTATTCCTCCATTTTTATCTCTTTACATCAGACAAGGCTTACAGGTTCAAAATGACAAAATTAGGATTATTTCATATTTCTCTGATGTTGACTATGAAGAGCAAGAAGGTATATATGAGGAGATAGAGGGGAAGATGTCACAAGAAGCTCTAGAAAACAGTAACATAAACTTAAAGGACGAAGGGGTAAAAGAAGTGAGAACTCTTTCAAAAACTGATAAATATTACAGCCAACAAATACAACCAAAGTATAAGAATTGGAAAAAGATACCATCTCAAAGCCAAGAGACAGAATTCTCTACTGCCTTTAATTATGACCTTAAGTTTGAAACATCTACTTTCTCTAGATATCCTCAGAAATATGATACAATAGATAGGAGAAGGAAAAAGACACCCTTATATAGTCATTTTGAAGACAGTGAAAAAAGCCAATATGATGATAAATCAGGAACTAAGACTAACTTGAAAAGTACATATGCTAACACTGAAAATTGTGACCTTTGCCACGTTGAGAAGAAGGGACAAAATTACCCAGTTTTGTGTCCCTACAAAAATAGATTTGTGGTTAAGAGTGGCATGTGGACCACTAACTTGGAAAGTCATGATTATGATCTTCCTTGTTGTTCTAAGAATTGTGAAAAGGCATCTGGCTTAAACCAGCATGTCACTAATTTCACTCCACTAGATATTCTTGAAGATTCTGCCAGCAGTACTTCTGATGAACTTCTGGGTTCCCCCGTTTCTGATAAGCAGGAAGATTTACTGTCACCAACATATCATCCATCCAATGTCCATCATATTGGAGGTTTTCCAGAAGAATATTATGGAGCAAATCCTGCATTCGCATCACAAAGGATGAATTGTGCTACAGACACACTTGGAAATCTGTCTGAGTGCCCCATGGAAGAGATGACCCCTTTCTCTATTGAGGAACCCAAGGAGGACTATATTGATACAATGGATGAGCTTCAGTGTTTGGTAGAAACAGTGTCAGAATATTTAGCAGAGAAAGAAGAGGAGATTAATAGATTTGGCTCTCTTTCAAAAACTAAAAAAACACTTAAACACAATAGTACTGTTAATAATGCAGAACAGAAAATGCCGGGGGATCAAATACCATCTTTAAACATTGTCAAGAATGACAAGGACAAAGCCATCTCTTTC